AAAAGTGAGAAAGACTCAGATCTTTTCATTTGAAAACAACCCTGCTGCCTTTAACAGTTGTACTCACTTTATTTCTTTGTAGCTGTGCATTCATGACAATTACAGAAACAACCCATTCCATAATTTCCGGCACTGCTTCTGTGTGACCCAGATGATGTACAGCATGATCTCGCTCTGCAGTCTCCAGGTGTGTCTTCTCAGACTGTCCATATAGCTCTCTGCATTTGCACTGATATCACTGGATAAATATTTGTTAATCAAATATCATGCAACCCAGGTAATTTCCTTTACCAAAAAAATTAAAGAATAAAAAGACCAGTTTGTGCGGAAGGGGCTCTCTTTGCTGCACCTGCTTTCTTAAATGGAAGAAGAGAAGGCAGATGAGTTTCCTAGGTGATCTTGGGGGTGTTGCTTAGGATATGTCTACACCCTGTGTTACTTGTTGGTTCATCAGCTTTCAGGAACAGGTTAACTTTATACAATAAGGCCAATGAGAGGGATATCACAGGGAGACAACTCTTTCCTACAACTGCTTGAAACTCCTGCTTCGTTAACTGGCCACAGCCAGTTTTATCCAACCAATGTGGTTACAGTCTACAAAGCCCTTAAAGGACTAGTATCCTTACATACCTCATTCCTGGCACTGCTGGGGCCAACCCTCCTGAGCACACTTCTTCCACCTGCTCCTGCCCTACACACACACCAAGCCCAGCCATGAGGCTGTGAATCTACTCTGCTTTTGTGGCTGGTTTCCATTGCATCTTAAATTAGATGTGTGGCAGGGTAGTCCTGCCATTCAACCTGATGCTAGCTGCATGGCAGGGCTTGGTTGACACCTCCACCTGTGTCAGCAGGCTGATAGCAATATGGTGCAGCCTTGATTGGGGCTGCACCCTGCTATTTTCAAGGCATCAACTCCAAGGGAGCTCATCAGCTGAGTCAGGGTGCTAGGCCAAAGGTCACAGGGCTCCCCACAACCCAACATGGCACTTGACTTGTCCTGCAGCTCCTGCAGGGGCTCAGGAGCAAGGCAGGTTCTGGTCCTGGGTTGCAGGGAGCTGCACAGCTCCCCACAGCCCAGCAGCTTGAGAGCCTTTCCTTACAGCTCCCATGAAATTGCAGAGCAAGGCACTTGGCACATTTTGGCCACAGGAATCCTGAGACTGGAGAGAATGTCCCTTGATCCCAGGGTCGCCATGCACCAGGACCTTTAAACCTGCAGGTGTAGCCAGGCTGCACATGATGTTTTCTGATCTTCCCAGAGCGTGGGGTCCCCAGAACCAGAAAACCTCTCCCGGATCCTGATGTCTCAGCACACCAGCACCTTAAAAGACCTGTATGTAGCCTGGTTGTACGTGAAGTTTTCTGACATCCCAGTACACAGGGCTCTGAGTTGGGATTGACATTCAGGTGATTGTTGGTTCCAGACTTGGGACTGCACTAAACACTTGAACTGGACCCAGCTCCAGGAGCTCACCAGAGTCATGAACCATCTCTTGTGCTGTTCTAGTCCCAGGACTGCGCCAGAGTTTTGAACCAGCCCCAATCCCATGTGGTTCCAGGGCTGATCAGCTGATTCTCAGTCTCAGCCCTGGGTCTGCATGGGAGCTAGTTGATGCCATGCTACCGGCACCCTGCTTTTATCTTGCTGGTGCAAGGGGAACCCTAGATCAAGACTCCCAGATTCTTCCTCCACTGGCAAATAGTCATGGCATGATTAAAATGATCCCTGATCCCAAAATTACACATCCTGCCACGCACATGTGGCAAGGCAGGAGGTGCAAATGTTGGGATCGGGAATCGGATCTTATCGCACCATTAAATGAACTTGTGCCAGGGACCATAATGACATCTAAGTTTTCTTCCAACCCCACATTAACTCATGCAGACACCTGAACAATTTCTAAGGAAGTTAGTATTAACATCTCTATTCTTTGGCAAGTTCTAATCTAGGCAATTATTACAAGTCTCGAGCAAATTCCACTTGCCTCCTCCAAGCTACTGATATTTAATTACTGCCAACTCTGAGTCATTTCTTGCTGCAGTGAATAGGGGCATCTTCCTTCATATATGCAATATGCTTGCCTATTGAATAACAGCTTGCACAGATCATTCCTTTATCTGAACTGTGAATGCATTTAGCAAAAAAAATGTAGAAAGTTTCAGAGTCCACACGAACTTTTATTTTATTTTATTTTCTGTTGTAGGAGAAATTTTCCCAACTTGATATCTTAATTCTGATGACGGCAGCAGTGTGCCATGATCTGGATCATCCGGGTTACAACAATACGTATGTGTGTTATTTGTTTTCTGCTGTCTTGGGAAGACAGTGAAAATCAGCATTTTTTTTGTGGCTCAGCAGTTTCTTCACCTCTATAGAGTGCACAGTGGTGAATCTGACATTTTCCAGCATGATTTGCTGTTGCTTCCTGGCAAGGCCAGAGCCATCTCTAGTTAGACTGGGTGTATTGCCAACCACTAGGAGCATGTCCATACCAACTCACCACACTAGGGAGACTCACAGGACAGCAGGCAGCTTCTAAAATAGATGCAAGGTAGCTGCCCTAGTGGGGTATTGGCTATGTGCCAATAAACTCACTTTCTCAGAAGAGCTTAATGTCACACACCCAGTGCTCCATTGAGGCAGCTATGTGAGTGATGTTAATTTAGGAACGTAGCATGTGTGGATGGGGGCATGGCATGTTTCCTACTGCTGTTCCCTCACACAGTTTGAGGCAGGGTAGGCCTGCCCTACATCTATTCAGGCCTCAGAGAAAGCCAGTAACTGCTCTAAACTCTGAACACATATTCAACGTAACACCTACTAAGTGCAGTTAAGGCATGAGCAAACACCCATTCAAGCAATTGAACACTTCTAAAGTACCCTCATGGTGTTGCAAAGTTGTTCCTTAATGTGTACTAACTTTAATAGTCACTACATACAACGTGCAACTGTTGCAAGTGAATGTGTGACCCCATCCTAACACATGCTAACCTTTATACATCACAATATTTCCACAATATTCCCGTGATTTGATGTGGTTGTAAGTGAACGTGTGACAGGCCCCTCTGAGAGGAAAATGTTTTGCTGTTCATTTTTCTTGCAAAACTAAAGTATGTTCCACTGAAGGAAGCTGGCTGCTAGAAAACAATCCCAGGTCAACTATTTGTTAAACACCCCATTTAGTGAAGGGAGACATCTGTAAGTGAGGCTGAGAACAAGGAGCTTTGAGTTCTGTTTCCACTTCTGCTAAAGTTTTCCTTAATGCCATTAAAGTGATTGCCTAACCTTTCCCTACAATCTATTTTCCCATCTCTATACAAAAAGGATTATATTAGCTGGTCACCAGGAGGGATTTGAAGATTACGTCATAAATGTCTCTTCAGCACTACGTGAGCTGCAGATGGAAAGTACTTTAGAAGTGCTAAGCATCGCTGTGTGGGTGTATGTGCACATGCATGTCTGAAAGACTGAAAAAGTCTCGTTTGCTTTTATCTATCTATTAAGTAAAAGCCTGAAACCATTCTCATTGGGATCAATGGTAATCTGTTCACTGATTTAGTGGGAACTGAAATCAAAGCCTATTATCCTTAAAAAAGTAGTTGTTGTAATCTTTACCCCATATCTTTTTAACTGATGGAGATTGACTCATAAAAAACAAATACACAGTGTGAAGCTATGTAAAATGATGACTTTCTCAAAAATTATTCTGAGTTTGTACTAGCAATCGCAATAATCAGTTCTTAGCACTTTATTAACTATTCAAAGTAGTGTCAATAGAATATGTGTTGTAGAACAGATAAGATGCAGAAATGCTGAAGGACGTTATTGTTTTCCTTCACATCAGCTACCAGATTAATGCCCGAACAGAACTGGCAGTACGCTACAATGACATCTCCCCACTGGAGAACCATCACTGTGCAGTAGCTTTCCAGATCATTGCCCAGCCAGAGTGCAATATTTTCTCCAGTGTCGACCAAGAACAATTTAAGCGGATACGACAGGTATGAGTGCTGGTCCAAAAGGCCGTGACATGCAAGTTGTTCTTTGAAATGTGTGCACAAATCTATCTACTGAAGAGCCATCTCATTCCATCTAGATGCGTGAATTGAAAAGCTTGACTTAACTATGAGAGATTTCTGGACCGTTTCCATAGCAGCTTTAATGTGTTGGGTAACAGTGAGAAAAGTTTGACTATTAAAAATATGACTCTTATATAGAGACTTATGAAAGAAATTTAGTTAGCTTGTGATCATAAACAGATTAAGTTGATATATGTTAACAGCTTACCCTTGTTCTTTAAGAAGAACATTGTATTGCAGTTAAAAAGGCACTTCCAACTAGAGATTTCTAACCTCTGGAACCCATCTCTTTCTTCTGGCTAGAGCAGTGATGAATCTTGTCACATTGCAATGACAAGATTGACCTTGGCCTAGGTACGCCTCCCCTGGGGCCTGAGGGTCAGGAAGGGTCTAGTCAGGGAACTTCTGGAGGGACTGGATGTATTTAAATCAGCTGGTCTGGATGATCTCCACCCCAGAGTGCTGAGGGAATTAGCTGAGGTCATTGCAGGACCCCTGGCACAGCTTTATCACTGTTTTCTGTTAGAGTCAATAGCAAAACCTGTATTAAATTCTGTGGGACCAGGTTTGGAACCCACTATATAGAACAATACTTTTAATTTAGTTATTTGATCAAGGGTATTTAGGTAATAAGCACAGAACAGGAAATGATAGAGACATGAGGCTGGAAGGGGCCTCCTTAGGTCATCTAATCCAGCTCCCTGTCTGAGGCAGGATCATCCCTGTCCAAACCATTAAATACAAATCCATAATCTAAACTCTTCTTAAAACTACTGTCAGCCCTGACACAACACAAAACATAACACCCTAACCTACCACAGGTAAAGCAGGGGGACCACAGCAGCCAAAACCCTACTTCTATAAAAGGTAAGTAATATACACTCAAGAGATCCCAGATAAAAGTCTATGCCCCTCACTACAGAAGAAGGCAACCCCTCCCCTCCCACCCCCCAGTCTATACTGGTCTGACCATGGGGTAAAATTCCTTCCTGACCAAAAATGTGACAGTGGGTCTGATGCTGAGCAGAAGGGTAAAACCCTCTGGCCAGGAACCTCCAACTTTATGTTGCAGCAGAAGCATTGGTACACCCCAGTCAAAATCCACAGCCTTGGCTGCTGCCAACACCTAGTGCCTCTGAGGAAGGCTTAAAAACACCCTTAAACATGTAGCAGAAAGAGGGGGACAGGGCAACCTGCAAAGCCCAGAAGCAAGGAAATACCCATGGCAGAATATAGGCATAGCTATGCCTAGATCATCTCTGACCAGTTGCTGTCCAACCTTTTCTTGAATACGTCCAGTGATGGAGAGTCCACAGCTTCCCTAGACAGTCTAGTCCACTGTCTCGTTGTTCTAACAGTGAAGAAGTTTTTTCCTAATATCCAATCTAAACCTACTTCCAACATACAATCAAACACACATCATAGCCAATGTCCATATTATGTCACTGTGAATTCTTTATGTAAATGATCTAGTTCATAGAATCATAGAGTTGGAAGGGGCCTCCAGTAGTCACAAGAACTGACCACTTCTCTACCAGTTTGTCAGGAGGTCTCAAGAAAGTTCCTCTTCAAAGGTAATTTATTCATGAAGCAACTCTTTGCACAGAAAGAACTGTACCTTCTATGAAATATTGAATGAATGTGCTGCTGTCTCCTTTGATAGGGGATAATTACACTAATCCTGGCAACGGACATGGCAAGACATGCAGAAATACTAGACTCCTTCAAGGAAAAAATGGAGAAGTTTGATTACTCAAATGAGGAACACGTGACCTGTGTAAGGAGCTTTTGTTAATTACCATTTGTCAGGAGCTAACATGGCTAGTAGTACTAATATAACTAACTACTTCTTTCTGCTAATGGTGATAATATTACTCTACCAACTTATCTTTGGGCTTGACCCCCACAACGCTAAATAGAACCAGTTTTCAGCAGAAAATCCAGGGTCCAAACAATTGACAATTTCTGTAGGAAAATGTTCATTTTGCTGCTAGGTTTTGAATGTCTAGAAAAGAACAATCTAAAAAGAAATAACTTGATTTGGAGCCAGATTACCATGGTTCAGTTTGTTGAAGTAAATGTAAATGTTTTGAAGGGAGTTGTGTTCTCCTTTACAGTTAGTTGCACATTTGAATGATTTGTTCCATCTGTCTGTCTGTCTTAGGCACTTTTGTAGGCTGTGGGGAAGTGCTGTTGACCCCACTGGGCAGATGGGGAATGAAGACCTAAAGAGAGACTAAACAGATTGTCCAAAATCACATAGGAACCCCACAGCTGAACTGGATCTCATCCCTTCATTCCAGAATCACATCCCAACCCTTGAACAAGCCCTCCTTTTCCTTGAGGGTTGTAATGTACTGTGAGGGACCATTTATTTGTTTTAAACCAATCATTTCCACCATTAACAAAAATGTAGAAAGATGTCACAGCTCTGTATAAAAGCAAAAGAAAGAAAAAGCTGAGAGCCCTCTAGGTAAAAAAGTTATGCTTTTTTTTTTGCATATGTTTAAGCCCCAGAGCAGCGGTGAACAAGTTTTTGCAGTGGTGGATCAAAACAATCCAGCTTGGGTCAGAGCTGAGCCAACCAATGCTTCCAAACTGGCCACTGCTGCTGCTACCACTGCCGCTGCTGCTGCTTCTGTGTGGCTAGCCAGCAGGGAGAAGTGGCAGTGTTAGAACAACTGGGTTGGAAGCTCCATGGGCTGTACAATGGCTCCAAAGACCAGATGTAGCCCACTGGCTCTATGTTACCAACCCTTGTCCTGTACTCATTGGAGCAAGATATAATTATTCCTTCAGTCAGGATATACATTTTGCTTAGTTTTATCCTAGGCTGCATACACACGCTATATCTGGGGAGCTATATCTGAGGAGCATGCTGCTATAATGACACAGCTGGACACATGATCATTACATTGTCATAGTGTGTTGCTACATCACTGTAGGGCAACGTGTAGATGCACCCACTGTCTTCTTCAGGATGGGGTGTGTGGCAGTAGTGGAGGATTATGTTCTCTTCTGAGAGAAGCGCACGGCATGTACAGACATTTGCTCTCTCAGAATAAACTCTTCTGGGAGTGATTCAACCCTGGTTGGTACTCTGGTTACTTTTCTCCTGGAGTGGCCATTTTCATTCTGGGAGAAAAAGTCTGAACATCTGTACACTTGTGATTTCTCCTGGGAGAGCAGCAACTCTCCCAGGAGAAACTGAACATGAGAGGCCCTAGTCTCCACTGCATATCAGTCAATTGTTCACTGTGTGTGTGATTGGGCCCATATAGTATATGCCATTGTAGAATACCTAAGCATTTTACAGTTATTCATGAATTAAGCCACACAAGCCCATCAAGGGGAAGGTAAGCACTATATTGATTTTACAGATAAGAAAACTGAAGCAGAGAGGGGTTAAACGGCTTGCCCAAGGCCACAATGGACTCTGGTGCAGAATCAGGAATTATAACCAGGTTACCTGAGCCTCAGTCCTATGCCTCAGCCATAAAATTTTCCTTTGTTCCTGCCAGCCTCTGTCAAAACAAAAGAAGCACAGCATGCAAAGAGACAAAGAAAAGTCTTGTGTTACCAGAATTTAAAAGTATTTGTCCTCTTTCAGTTGAAAATGGTGCTTATAAAATGCTGCGATATCTCCAATGAAGTACGCCCAATGGAAGTAGCAGAACCCTGGGTAGACTGCTTATTAGAGGAATATTTTATGCAGGTAAGAATGAGACAAAGATCCAGAGAGGCATTCATCAAAATTCCTCCTCCCTCCTGAAAACTATCTGGTACTTGAACTATCTATTAGCTATCTCCAGTTCCATATGGATGAAAGACTTCTTTTGTATAAGGTTACAGAGGGCCATCAGTGGAATAAGTTCAGAATAAAAGTGCCTGCAATGTATTGTGATTTGTAAAATGACAGTAACAACCAAGAAATACCAATGTCATTAGATTGCAGGTTGTTGTCACTAATAGGGCTGCCTCCTGAGTTCATTTGGCATTGTTAATGGCTTTAGAACTTTAGGGCAAGAACAGTGGCAGCAGAAGCCAATTCAATGGGCAGTATTCAATTAGCCAAGGTGGCACTCTATCTGTGATGATGATCTGAAATGTTTATGACCTAAATTGTGCATTTCCCTAGAAAAATAAGGCATTCCATTTATTCCCAGGATACCAGCTACTTGAATAATTGTGAAAAGTCAGGCTTTACGGTTGCATACCAATTGCTTCACGCTGGAATCCCCTCCCACTCTGTGATGGATGCTTTTACCCTGTAACATAAACAAGCATTAAATATCTCAGCAGTCCCCTGCTTTCTCCTACACATACACTGCACTGTGCCTGCATACTGCAGCAGCTGGCGTCACGCAAAGCATAACTTCACAGTAATTGGGAGAACAAGATGCCAGAGTTTTCTAGTTCATTTCATTTTACGTTCTCTCTATGCTGGGAGAACCAGTTTGATAAAGAAACATGGAGGACTTCTCTATTTTTTCTGATAGGAGGAAAATCCACTGTGACAAACTGTCAGAGGCCTCTATAGATCATTGTCTCTACAGAAATTATTTTGAAATAAAAAGTGTATCTATGTGCTTTACCATACTGTTAAACAATAGAATGTGCAGCCAATTCGATAATTGAGAACAAATGCAGACAAAGAGCTGGTATTTTTTGTGTATTTTATTCTCTTACTACAAATTAGAAAACTACAGAAATAATGGGTCAGGTCTTCAAGTCTATCAGTCAGTGTAAACAAGTGATTCTCAACTAGGGTGCCATAAGCAGCCAGGGGTCTTGAAATCCTTTCAAGGGTGCTGCAGGTTATCGTGCAATGTTTACACTATTAAGTGTGCAAACATGATTCACAAAGTATAAACCCAGATATTTCAGTTAGGAATCTAGTGTCAAACACATTCTGACCTATTAGGTCTTTCTGAGTTTTTAGCAACAGAAGAATTGCTCTAGTATTTTTCTATAATCAATAAACAAGTGAAAACTAAGAGCTGGCATTTCCCATGGGGTGCCTTGAGTTGCAAAGGGTTGAGAGCCACTGGTGTAGATCCATTTCAGTCAAAGGACTTAGGCTGATTTATGTCAGCTAAGGATGTCAGACTCATTTTCTGTAAGCTCTTTCCAAAGTTATGGGCACAGGTGGGCATCCTTCACTGAGTCTATATGTAGTTGAGGTTACTTAGTAACCTACAGTTAGCCAATCATGATAAAAAATGGTTTGTTGCTTCTACTTTGGTGCCTGAAAGGATCATTCTGAGGAGGAAGAACTCAAGGACCCCTCTTCTTTTCTGTGAAAATCTAGATACTGCTACATTTTTTGTGTGTAAAAGTGATTTACACAAGAAGTCCCATTCTTCATTTTCAGTGGGACTTGGACTTTTACGAATCTCCTCTTTGTGACCTTTTGTACATGCAGTGTTTGTGGAAAATAAGTAAACCCTCCAAAAAGTAAAACTGTCATTAAAACAAAAGCAGTTAACTTCTAAATTGTATTTGTGCAGCAAATTGAAATGATACATAGAGTCCTTTTCCCTTGCTGTTATTAGATACACCAATGAGACATACTTACTAGAGCTGTGCAAAGCTTCAGCAGCTGATTCGATTCAGAGGAGATTTGGCCCAATTCGGCAGCCGAATCTCCAAATCCAAATTAAATTAGGGGAGACATTAAAAGGTCCAAATTGATTCAGAAAAGATTTGGCACCAATTCGGAGATTCAGCTACACACTAAACAGGCAGCAGTCCAAGGATGCTGAACACAGCTGCCTCCAGCTGGTAAGTCTGTTGTGGTGGGCAGAGTGGGGAGGGAAGGGGCATTGTGGGGGCAAATCAATGCTCACACAGCAAGGGAGAGATTGGGGCTGGGGCTGGGGCTGGGACTGGGACAAGCTGCCCAGCTGGGG